CATTGGCTGCTGAGCGATGACGTCATGGTTGGTACTCTGCACGCCCTGCGTTTCTTAAACAACCTCCTAACTGCCGTTAGGGGTGCCCGGAACGCGTCCCCATTTGGTGTGTTCACCGCGTCCAAAAGAGTGGGCCCTCGATTCCCGCCTGATGACGTCGTAGAAGTGTCATCCTGTCGCCGACCTCAATCCTGTGTCGGTGTTCAGAGAAGCGGTGGTGGACGCGGCTGGTGCCTGTTCTGCTGCAGGTCTCCTCCCCAGCTTGACAGCCAACGGAAGCTAAAGCAGCCAGGAGTTGAAACACCGCGATGACAGTGACACTCGCGTTCTCCTCGCGCTTTTTGTTTTTCTCCAAAACGTCTACCCCCAACCACCAGGATCACAATATCCGAGAGCACGACACACCGGTCTTTGCGGCGTCGTTTGGTGCCACCTCAGGACCTCTTCCGACGCATAGAAAAAATAAGTCTGTGAACCATAGCCTCTTATATACTGACAAAGCCTGTCAGATCGCCACGAGAAATGGCCGCCGAAACGGAAAGGTGGAGCGGCAGACAACGGATGAGAGAAGAACCACGTGACTGGCGCCCCGCTGCGGCGAGACGTTGAAACACGCTTCTCTCGAGCGAAAAGTGTGTTTCGGGTCCTCGGCGGGGGCAAATGCTGTGCGCTGGCGTCCAGGTTCCCCGAGAAATATATCTTTGATGCTCTGTGCTACCAGATCCTCGCGCTCCAAATCTGCGACTGGGCACTCTATGGCTTTGCCGTCGAACATCCGGGCTTTGTGACTGTAGAGGAGGCTATGACTGAAGTCGCCACCCGGAGACGAGTTCCAGGCACTGAAATTATAGTAATCTTTTCAACAACCAAAGGCAGGCGTGGCTTTTTTTTTCCCATGTTATCATCCCATCAGAAGCATTTGCTTCAAGATGAAGTTTACCCACGGCTTGAAGGGGCAGACACCTCGATGCATGTCACCCTCGAGGGCATGTACGGAGAAGTCAACACATTAACCGCCTGACCCTCTATCATTGACGAGTGTCCAGTGTGCAATGGCGAGACCAATATTTCGTTTCACTTCTAGTCTGATCACAGACGACGCTGGAACCTAGAGACAGTCGAGCAAAGTGTTGCCAAATGTGCATGCTCTCAACGCTCACCATCCTTCTGGGTTTGCTTTTGCAAATTAAACAAATCACGCGAGTAAAAAAAAAAACAGAAATAAAAGGATCGCTGCGCACTAACTAAGAGTCATAGATTTAGTCAGTGATAAAAAAAAGCACAAAGGAGATAAGCGTAGTGACGATGCACCTCATGCACTACTTGATTTTCTCCGTCGGATTGTAGCACTGGCTGCGTTCGGATTTAAAATATAATGAAGTTGAAGCAACTCCGCTGGGCATGGCTAACGATCGCTAACAAGTTGTGGGAAAAAAGAGTGACTTGGACCTTTATCGCTCAACCACTAGAGGCATATGACGCGCTATTTAGGAAGCGATGTCCATTACATTTGTTATCGAAACACAAAAAACAAATCGTTTTGGGCATTTTGGAGCAGTCGCGTCAGGCAGCTAATATTGGCTGTAAAATTTAATTGGTGTTTAGATTACGTGACGCGAATTTTTCCGCCAAATTTAGCGGAGGAATGTGTAGGCGAACGAACACAATTCTGGGATCAGAACAGTTTCGTTAAAATACATTACGTGGTTTCAAAATCCTCGCATAATCCGCGTCTCCACATTGTCTAAATTGTGTTGAATATTGCTTTTTTGAAACATTTATAATCCGCAAACACGGTATATTTAAAGTGAACTCGCCTGTAGGTAGTTAAAGCGTAAACGAATAGCGACTTAGACAGGTTATCGAGTGATTTAGCTAGCTGTCCTACTCTTTATATATTTGTTCTGTACATTCATTTGTTCATTTGCTACAGGTCAAAGTCAGTAAGTTGCGTGACATACTGTATTTTTGCTCTTCTTTTTTCCAGAACCAGAAAATGTGTGTCCTCGACCAAATTCTCAATTTATTTCAATAATTTTAAACATATGCGATTAAAAGCGCGTTGCTCCCAGTTACACTCGTTGACTTAGTAGCCACAACAAGGATCCTCAGTGTACCCAAGACGATACAATATTTTCTAAGCTGAAGACAATATAAAGATCGGCAGACAAATACATTCCGCGAACCGTAGATACGAGAAATCATTAGTAGTGCGTGGTATCTCACTATCGTGTTCTTGTTAACTTTGGCATTCCCTTAGTACACGAGCGTCTGGTCCCAACACTTGCTGGCTGACCGAAATGTGTAGTCACTGACTGCATAAGAAACACGCAGGGCATGGAGAGACCCGAAGCTTCTTTTCGCCCCTCAATCAATATGACTGCAGTATTTGCTGATCAAAACACCAGGGAGCCGATCACGAAGCGAGACGTTCAACACAACTAGTCACGTCCTGCGCTTATTAGGCTCTCAGCGACTACGAGGCAATATACTAGTTTGTGAGATTTGGCAGTCAAGGCGGCATGGTTTAGGTAGTGTTTTGTGATCATTCTGAACTAAGACCAATTGATAGAACGGCACTCTAATCGTTTGAACAGGTATTTACAGTTTACAACGCCATCGCCTCTTTTTTAAGAAGCTGACGGCTTGAGCCGCATAAGTGCCGAAGTACCAGACTTGAGTGAAGGATACCGCATATCAACCAAACAACCAGCAGTGAGGACTAGCTGCTGGACTTGTTTGACGATTTATGGCCGACGATGCTTGATGAAAGAAAATCTACTAGTAGCAAAGACTGACTCTCACGAGACTTGTTTGGCGAGTTAGGCCTAAAATATTCACAGGCTTGACGCAAAAAAAAAAGAAAAAGAAAGGTCAAGTTCAGTTTTCGATTGGCGTCTTCGGGCGTTTTAAGGAACAACGCACAAATAACTTAGACGAGGAAGGTGTAGACCAGCCAAACGCTAAATCTCAACTAAAATTACATATATATATATACATATATATATATATATATATATATATTTAATACAACTTAATATAATATTCTTTTGAAGTCTAGTGCTTGTCAAGTCTACAGATTAATCGTCTTTGTTATTTAAGCGTGGTTTCTAGTGGTATCATGAACCAACTCACCTCCATCGCTACTTTGATTCTCTTTAAGGTCCTGAGTTCCAAGACAAACATTTTGTCCCAAAAACCTATGCTACCTGCGGAGCGTTCTCCGTGCACTACAAACAAATAATTTTGAATGTGAGCGGAGGTATTTTTGTTAATTTCTTTTTTATCTTATTGCTCATACAATCAGCTCGATACCTTGAGGTGTCTATTGACTTTAGCATGAAATGGCCCCAAAATAACAAGGAGTTCACTCTTATTATTTTTCACACATATAAAAAGCAACTGTAGACAGCAACGTGGTTGGTGACCTTGTATTGTATCGACCGTATTATTTGAGTGAACCCGAAACAATCAAATGTACCACATATATCTTCAACAATAAATAAACAACTTTATTTGTTTGCACATCGGTACAACGCTTGTTTGCTTTTGGCACAGACGTTGACGCCAGTGCTTTGACGCATTCTCTCCAGAGCCCTGCGAAGACAAAAGACGCAAACATATAATAAGGCACAACTCAAACGCATGAAAAAGGGAACATTATACTTCCAAATGGCCAGCGCAATAAAAGTATTATACAGGCATCCGGCATGTCGATAAAAAAAGAAGTCCTTAGAACTGAGATCCGTCCTAACGTCTTAATGAATTCTCCGAATGTGCATATTGCGCCCACTTTTGGTGCCTTAATATTATGTGATCATTGTGTTATTAAAAATCTTGCGAAACTTGTTGTAGGGATAATACAGAATATATACTTTAAGTCGACATATACTTTAAGTCAAAATACACTGGTAAAAAAAGTTCGTCAGGAGGAGAAAAAAGTTTGTCATTTGTGAAATAAGCTTTTCTCATTGAGACACTCTTAAAAAAACCTTTCAAGTCTGTTACAGTTTACGGCGTGGCAGTGGTTTTACAGAGTATGTCTTCGAGTCGCCATTGAATTCTTTTTTTTTTGTGGGCTATGCTTGATGCCAATTTTGAGACACACAATTACAACACCCGTATGGACTTTACAGAATGTTTGGTGGCTCAGGAAATTTTAAAATATATCTCGGTCAATGTAAGTTCACATATACAGGAGCCTATTGAGGAGTGGTGATAATAACCAATTAAAAAAAAAACCTTCAACCCCACTACTACGGTGTTTGTGGAGAATAACCAGCACGCTCCATTTCCACAAACCCACTACTACTTTTTTTTTTCTGTCAAGAGACGCAGAGCAAAAATTAATTTTAAACAGGCAGTTCGCATTAATATAAGACAAACAAAAAACAGTCATTTGAGTTCAGGTGTTGTATCTTAGCTTTAAAGTGGGATTTCTGGTCTGAGTAACGCTGACTTGCTGACGCCGTAGTTGATGGAATTGCAGGATTCGCATCGTTTTGATCACTCCTGTCACTGTCCATCAGATCATAGTCTAATTCTCAAAAATCAAAAAGACAGAAGGATTGGTCGTCCCAAATGCCTAAACAATAACAACTGTCAAAACAAATTTTGTTTTGTATTTTTTTGTTGGCTAAAGTGAACCTGCGCGCCAAAGCTACGTTATTTTAGCGCGAACGATAACAAAAGACAGTTTTTTTTTCTTGGTTACCTGGAGCACTGTTTTTTCTGTCAAGTAGCAATACAAACGAGCAAACAACCCAAGGTAACTGGAGTAAAAGGGGTGGTTTTGTCTTCTGCCGGAGAGCGCTCTTAAGATTCGCCCAAAACCGAAACACGAGTTACGGTTGTGGTCGGATTTTATACCATTAAGGGGTGGTTCGAATGACACTCTTGATTATTAGGAGGCAAAGCGTTAAACCATGATATTCTAAAATTAACGGGGAAGCCAATATCGAATAAAACGTGAACATAATTACCTTTCATACGTTTACAGCTTAACCGTGATAGCCATAGCCTCCATGGCCATAGCCGCCGTGGCCGTAGCCGCCGACGACACCGACAGCCTTGACGACACCGACACCGTAGCCGACTCCGTGACCGTAGCCAAGGCCGTGTCCGTAGCCGCCATATCCGCCATATCCTCCGTAGCCACCGTGGCCGTAGCCGCCATAGCCGCCGTAGCCGCCGTAGCCGCCATAGCCGAGCCCGTGTCCGTAGCCGACAGCGACAGCAGGAGCGGCGTGGACGGTCTTGGTGACAGCGACAGACGCGACTGGAGCAGCGGCGACGATTCCGTGACCGTAGCCGCCGTATCCACCGTATCCTCCGTAGCCGCCGTGGCCGTAGCCTCCGTAGCCTCCGTAGCCGCCGTAGCCGCCATAGCCACCGTGGCCGTAGCCGACGGCTACCGCCGGGGCGGCGACGTAGCCAGAGTAGGCGATGGCGACGAGGCCGAAGAAGGCGAGAACGGTCTGCACCAGAAAACAAATTGATTAATGCTAATGGAGCAAGCAACACTGCACGCGGCCGAATTTCGGGCATCGCTTCCTGGGTACAGTTGCGACTGAATCCGAGCTCACGGCGAGCACCGTCGCAGCACTCGTGTTCAATGTACGCTCAAAGACCGTGCCGAAAATATGGCGGTCTCGGAGCCGCTAATGGAGGGCGCGTACTTTCGAGAAGAACGCATTGTGAGTTCATAAGGTAAACAGTATACGTAAGCAAATAGTTTGAATGACCACTTGCTAAGTAGAGGGCGCTTCTTAGCGTCGCTGTTAATCTGCCGTGACATCATAAATGCTAGCTTTTGTTTTTATATTGTGGATATGGAAATTCGGGCGACCATGCCACAGGAAGCATTTTTAAAAGTGCTGTATATCTAAAATATGCAAAATAAGACAGAAATAGGGTTAGGGACGAATGAGAATAGTTTCTGCACCCACTGACAGCTAAACAAACGAAGAGCGAATTACCAATGACATTGCGCCATTAGGCGATTAAGGTGCCGCAGATCAAACTATTAAGTAACAGCAACCTAATAAGTCAAGGCCTGCGTTTCTTAATAAGTCTGTAGCGTAAACTAAAGCATTTAAATTTGGAAAAAAATTGATATCAGCTTTTAAGATATAATAGCATTAAAAACGATATAAATATTTAGATGCTGCGAGAGCTTAATTTGGTTTTTAAACTGATCGTACTTGCTACAAAACACTGTATTCGACGGGCTGTTCTTAAGAAAATGCCGGACTTGATAGGGATCCAATTAAACCTGTTAGTCAGTTGGAAATGATCCTAGTGCTTACCTGCAAGTTTTAAAACACTGCTAATCTTATTTCAAATAAACAAGTTTGCATAACATAAGAACATTACTCAACGTACTCCGTTCCCATTGGGGTATACTTGATTATCTGGCATTCATAGCACTGTAAAATGCATTAATTACTCTATTCAAATCTCCAGATATTGTTAATTACTTACACCAACTAAGTTCGTTGCTTCGACCGTTTCACGAGAATAAATACCCCCGAAACGAGATCTGACGCCTATGTAGATCCATGGAGAAGTGATAATAGATTGCTTCAACCTTGCTTGTGAAAAATCTAGTCGAACGAACAGTTACCTCCTGAGCGCAACAGAGGCACGGATTGGCACTAATCCAGGTTTTGTGCAATCTACTTCCCCTTGTCTCACTTTGATCGTTTACGGTATATAGGCTCCCTCGATGCCCCCGGCAATCCCTGAGACGTAGAATCGGTTCTATAATTCCTGCCGGCGCACTTTTGCGTGGCGTGTCCCTTAAACGCGTCTCTTTAGCGCTCGATCCCGACTCGCGATTACTTCCCCGACTTCGATCTACATAACGGAGGGGAGTGCATCTCCAAACTCACAAGAGAGTTCATGATGCTGCTGATGTACAGTCGGAAGACGTGTTCCCCCAGTGTCTTCACTAGCGTCCAGAACCGGGCTTATATACTCGGACGAGACTGCAGGGGCGGGGCTTGGGTACAAAGAGCCCTTCCGTGATCGCATACACGGGGAGACTCCAAATTTGCCTTTCTTTCACGTGCACAGAGAAAGGGGAAAGAGAAAGTTGTCCGCACGCGAAGGCACGGCAGTCCAATTTGTAGGTCATTCTCTATTCACCGGTCACTGCCGCCGCCACAACGTGTGGGCCACGGGGCGTTTCCGCTTGTACGTTAAAGCCGTAAGACGCTGCGAAAAAGAAAAACCAGGATAGAACGGAGAGGCAACGAAGTAGGAAAGACTCCAGTGTGGTAATCCAAAAAACAGAAGCGAAAAAAGAAACAAAACAAAAACTCTGAACGGGTCAGTCTAACGTGCGTTTCTTGTTTCTTTCAAGGTTGCCTGAGTTGAGTTCCCGCGCCGCCAACGACGTGTCCCGCACACAGCGTTGCCAACATCGTTCGACCTTCCCCGCTAAGTGAGAGCTTCCTTTGTTTAGGTTTCTGCTCCCTTTCCTTAATTGTTGTTATTTTACTCGTAGAGTCGTAGACGTTCTAGCTGCATGTAATCATACCGGGGCGTGACGTTGAACGTTGCTCTATCGTTAGTTTTCTTTGCGCTTTGTTTGTTGGGAGCCGCTCGCGGGATGGCGGGAACAAGCGATCGGTTTTCAGCCGAACAGAAATAACGGCCCTCTGCTGCTCTGTCCTTGTAAGGTCGTTGCTAATTGCGACAAGTTGGACGGGGCGCCGTTGTGGTTTGCTCGGGGCGTCGTGCATATATCGACGTTTCGTGTTCTGGAGTAGCGACTAATACCCGCGCTGACTTGTTTACGACGCTAGGCGCTTCTGGGACCGTGTTGTTTTGGGAGCAAGGATTGTCATAGCGCGAAGTGCACGCTGAGTTGCGGCGGTGGAGTGCGAAGCTATCGCAGTGTTAATCGCCTGGTATTTCAACGTGGCGTAACTCGGTGATCGTTTGGTTTTCCGGGAAGGAGTGCGGTTCCTGGCTTGTTGGGGGACATTCTTTCGAGGAAAGGGCCCGAGTGGAAGGTTACATTCATTACGGCATGGGTTCGTAACGGCACTAGGTCAGGGAGAGGCATAACCCTTTAGCGAGTCACGTTAAAGGTCTGGCAGAACACGCCCAAAGTGCATTTAAATGTTCCGAGACCTGACGAGTTGCTTGCTTTCATGTTCAGGTTATGTAGGCACCGTTAACAAAGCACCGGCCTCTTTAACGACGATATCTATACATAAATATAAACAAAAAGTTTTCTAAAAGTGTCTTTTATAAAATCACTTACATGACTGAGAAACACTAAACCCTTGCTTCAATGTACAAGGCTCGTTCAAGGGTCGTTTGTTCATAAGAAATCACTGAATCTGTGCAACATAACGTATATTGGGAAGGAAGTTAACCTAATTATATTTTAATATCGTGTGCCCGGAAGCACGTTTGAAGTATCAGCAAGAGTTCCAGCTGTGAAGGTGGCGGGCAATATGTCAGTTGCTGGGGATCTAAGGCACGTACATAATTAGAGTTCTGCTAAAGGAAAATGTTAAACCAGATGAAATTAAACAAAGAAGAACTGCAATTAAGGTTGAAAGCTGGGCTAGTTGGTGATCGTTGTACATAATGGAATAAAACAGCGTGAAGATAGAAATAGGAAGAGATACACCAGACAGGACAGAGCGCTGACTCGCAACTACGGCTTCTTTACTCAACGAAAAAGAGAAAGACAAAGAGAAAGAAAAACGATAAAAATATACAGGAAAAGAAGAAGAAAAAGACATTACTGTACGCAATCACACGCGCACCTTTCACCCATAATAGCTGACTACGGCAGGTGCTGGACCCTCATTGTCAACTTCAGGAATTTCAGCTCCTTGGCTGACAACGCCACTGAAGCTGCGCTGATACACTTTTTTCCTCTACTCTGAATGTGGAAGGCCTCCAGCACCTCGCGTGTCACTTTCTCCCTGTATCGTCCCAAGATGGTGGTGGCACTAAAAAACGGCTCTCACAGGCACTCTTTGCAGTGAACCGATAGGTGTCCTCCCACTGTCGCTCCGAGGGAGTACCTGTGCTCGCGGAGCCTTTCATTCAGGCACCGTCCCGTTTGTCCCACGTAGGTGGAGCCGCACGAGAGGGGGATATTGTAGACTACTCCCGTGGCACATGGGACGAACGGCCTGGCGTGCTTCTTGCTACACTTGTTTCTGGCGATACCGTCTGCCTTCGCATGAACTCTGGGGCAGATCTGGCTCATTTTTTCTGGTGCGGAGAAAACCACTGGGATTCCATATCGTTTTCCAACATTTTTTTAAATTGTGAGAGATCCTGTGTAAGTACGGGATAACTACAGGTCGCTTGCGTTCCACATCCCGTTGTGTGGACTGGCTACCTTTTACTTTCTTTAGCAGTTTGCTTGCGACGTCTGAACTTAGTGTCATCGGATAGCCAGCTTTCCTCAGTCTGTCTGTCTGTAGCCTAAAGCTCTCTCCCAGAGTGTGGAGGCAAGATTTTTTGAGCGCTGAGCTCAGACAAGACAAGACAAGAACTGCAAGCACGATTTGGGGAACAGACGATATCACGGAGAGGAGTATGCAAATGTTGTCATCAGTTTGGCGAATGACAAGACCCAGTGACAACTGAGCCACACTTACGCGTTCGTCTGAACGCATACACGGAGCTCTGTTTGTTCTACGCCAAGGAAATCAGATAGCTGCCAATACAATGAAAGCCATGCCTGATGTGCACGGGAAATATATTGATGAAGAAGAAAGAAAGAAATGCTGGGGCATTGTTTCGCGTTTGTCGAACGTTTCATTATCTTGGTTGTAAGAAAAGATACGATCAACCTTGCACTACCCTTCTAAATAAAAATTTTAAAAACAGGCCTCTGTCGTTTCACGTATACAACATCCCACAAAAAAAGTGCAAGTTATGCAATAAATATTTTATTTTCCTGCAGGACAGCAAATCTTGTGACCGATTCACGGTTCTTCTGTAGATATATCCTGCAACAATAATGTAGAAAATAAATACCGTCAGACACGGAGTTCAAATACTACACCAAACAAATGGCAAACCCCGCTAGCAAACTTTTTCAAAATAATGAAAACAAATTTACACATTTCTTATTTCGTAATTTGTCGTTATAACACTCAGAACTACGCTGAAGAAAAAAAGAATTAAATAACGGACATAAGAATGTTTCAAACGTTTAGCTACATTGGCTTCCGAAGAAGCACAGCTTCGTAGAAGAAATGAGCTTAATGATATACCAGAATCCGCCATAAACTAAAGACGTGCTTGATGCTACCCTGTTGCCTTCTACTCACGTACTTTTCAGCCGTGATAGCCATAGCCATGGCCATATCCGTGTCCATGGGCAAGGCCAACGGCCCTGACAGTGTAGCCACCAACGCCGTGACCGCCGTGACCAAGATGACCACCGAAGCCAAAGCCGTGTCCAACGCCATGCGCCAGCCCGTAGCCATGACCGTAGCCGTGACCGTAGCCATTGCCGTAGCTCACTACGTGGCCGTGTCCGTAGCCATGACCATGTCCGAAACCGTGTCCATATCCGTGCGTGTGAGCAAGACCGACAGCTCTAACGGTGCCGACTGCATGAAGACCATGTCCATGATGACCGCCATGCCCAAGATGGCTTCCATATCCAAGATGGCCGCCGAAAGCAAGGTGGCCGCCGTAACCATGACCATATCCGTATCCGAGACCATGGCCGTGACCATGGCCGTGGACATGAGCAAGACCGACCGCCCTCACGGTGTAGCCGCCCACTCCATGACCTCCGAGATGGCCTCCGTAGCCATGACCATGTCCGTAGCCGATGAGGCCTCCGGCGAAGGCTGTGGCTGCGAGGCCGACGAAGACGCAGAGTGCCTGAAAGGTGAGTAGTTTTGCATAAACTTTTTTTATTCCCTTCTCAGGTGTGCTGTTAATGAAAAGCTGAAGTAAGTTTTAAATTATGTAACCTTTCACGGAAAAAAATACTTCGTGTGCAGGTGCGATGGAGGGGAAAGGGGGGTTCGCATAATTTAAATTCCAGATCAATAAGTAGTTCCTTTCTGTTTTGTCTGCCTTTTCTGCTTCTTGAACCTTCGCCTTTCCTAGTTCAGCCTACGGTTAACTCAAAGTAAGTATTTTTTACTTAGTTTCAGAACCGTCAAGATTGCAGTACCGCAACAAAAATATAAGAACATTGATATTATGCAAGAGCGTCTAACAAAGAAATAGCGCAGACGGAATGTCAATTTATTTTGTATCCGAACCTTATCTTTTTGAATTCTTATTGTCGCAACTGCAGTACAGGTCTTCAAAGAGACCTTTTTATATTTGATTTCGATCTTCCCAGGCAACGACCATTCCGCAGGAATATAACGGGCGTTAATAAAACGAACCAGTCGCCCGTACAATATGCAAAGTATAATGAGAAGTCCACAGGAGAAATAACTAACAACATCGAAAAGAAGAAATGCGCAGGAGTACTATCTGAAAATCCTAAAGTCGTCCAAGGAAGAAGAAGGAACACATATTTTTATTAAGTCTGCTCTTTGCTTTGATCATTATTAAAATCTGCTGTTTCTTCGCTGTTTAATATTTTCATTGCTTTTTTTCAGTTTTCTTTTGAACTAAATAGAAAAATATCCCCACTTTGCTCGTTTGTTTATGACCCCGAGGATTCTCTTAGATGCATGCAGAAAGGGTGGGTTGTTACTACAAAAACGTTAAGGTGCCTAAACTGAAAATATGAACGCAAAACAATACAAAATTCAATCCCCTAAAAGAAGGAAACAAGGACAAATATGATGGGTTTAACGAGCTTGTTAGGTTAGTCTCGGCTCCTTGCTCGGTGTTCTGCTTTCTTCGTATTAAGGACAAACATATTTATCATAAACCTGGTACA